ATGACAATAGGTCTGATCTGATTTCATCATCACTTTAAAAAAAATCATCTATTATTTTTCACTTTATGTTTCTGTGTGGGAACAAACTGTTGAAATCCTTACTTAAGGTATACTAAGCTGATCTTCTGTATACTAAGATAATCGAAAATGAATCTTGATGTGAATGGAAGGGGAGAGGGAGTGGGAAAGGGGAGGGTGGTGGGTGGGAGGGACGGTATGGGGGGGAAAGCCATTGTAACCCATGAGACGTACTTTGGAAATTTATATTCATTAAATAAAAGATAAAAAAAATGAAGGTAATACAAAACAAGTAACTATAGAATGCCTAATCAAATGTTATTTTCAAATGGGTACATAATTTGGAAATGTTTGTTCTAGCCCATGGAATACCACTGATGTACATCAATAAAATCTAGTATCTTCCACCTTTACGTTTCCTTATGACTCCCAAGGGCCATGGTAGAGAAAAGGGTACCCTAATGCTAGGAACACTCTCCCTTCCTGATTTAGTTCCTAGAGGCCAGGCAAGACTGATACATACTACCTCTAACTATGGATGCTCTAGGGGGAGGAGCAAATGGCCTCCTCTTCCTAGCTAATTCCTTGTCTTCAGGGTCAGAAACACAAGGGATTGGAAATTCGAATCATCTACCTTAATCTTCTGGGGTTTGTTCCTTAATGACTCAGAGCTTCAAGGAGCACATGTTACCTCCTTGATATAGCTTTATCTAACAAAGCAGTCATGTCCTCAGGGCTGGCACTCTAGAGCGCAAAATAAACACAGGGAAAAAAAACATCTTATTTCTGCCCAGCAAATCTTTGCTCCCTAGACCATCAGAGAGAAGGGGGAAACACCAAATGCAACAGCCACCCCTGCTTGCTTCTGGCATCTTTCCTCTCTGCTTGGAAAAGTGCGACTCCACTACATCTTTAAGATTGCTTTTCAGATGCCTCTAGTCAATCACTCCTCCCTGGCCACCTGGGGTTGCCTCCTTCTGCCCAATTCCTGGCTTTAGATCCACACCCCCACTCCCCCAAGCCCTCCTCCCAGCGAGGTACCGTCCCACCACTCACGCCGGGCGGGCCTTTTCCGGCGCCGCGTGAACGCATTTGCCCCACACACCGACCGGGTCCTCCAATACCCCCACACCGTCCCCAGCTCCTCCGGGATTCTTCGCGGATCCGCGCGGGCGGTGCGAAGGCAAGCACGGCTCCCTGGGGTGGGGCGGGGCACGGGGGACAACTTGCAACCGCGGCCTGGGCCCGCCACGCGCCCCGGGGGCCCTCCGCGTCGCCCACGGCGCTACTATGCCCCTACCCCGCGCTCACCGGAGCCGGGAGCTGCAGGCTGCTGAGCCGGAGCAGCAGGGCGACCCCGGATGAGGGGCAGAAGAGGGAGTGGGCGGCGCCTCCCGGCCCCGCCAAGCAGGTTCAGCTTCCCCTAGTAGGGTGAGTTCCGAGAAAGGCCGGCCCCGGGCCACACCCGGCCCCCGGCACCAGGTCCCCTGCCTCACACTCACCTCACCCCACGCGCGACGGGCACTCAGAGGCGGGCGGCGGGCGGCGCTCCTTCCTCCCTGCCCCCCACGCACACGCAGGCTGCCTGCAGTCGCACGCACGGCCCGGCGCGCTCCGACCACGCGCCGAGGCCGTTGCCGGCGCCCCTCGCTCGCTCGCTCGCTCGCACGCGCGCGCCCGGGACAGCTCTCCGGGGCGCGCGTTCTCGATGCTCGCTGTCACCCGGCGTGCCGAACGCCCTGGAGTTAGGCTGAGGCCGGCAGGGCGAGGATCTCGGTGAGAGACCCGTTTTGTTTTTTTTTCCGTCTTGCCATCTTTCCGAGCTGTACAGATGCACCACTTGGAGGCAGCCCCGGAGTGATTTCCCTGTTGATCTCCACACCGAGCTAGTTAAGAAAGAGGAACCCTTGGGAGGAGTTCTTTGCGCTCTCAGAGGAAATGCTGGTTCTCCTTCCTGAATTGACCGGGAATGAGCGGTAGGGATATGCCAGGCTCCCTCGGGAACTGCTCCCGCAGCTGTCCTCTGATCTGGCCAGTCCAAGACGGTCTGCCTCACCCCGGATCGTCCCCATCCAGGGCTTCCTGGGCGGAGTAGAGCGGCTTTAAGACGCAGGAGACTGGATGCGTACTGGTCTTTGGTTGGAGGTGGTTGCTTTACTCAGCAACAACACTTCCCGTTTTGAATAGGCACCCCTGAAATAGTGCTGTCTGAAACAATTCTTCATTCTGGTCACTTGGTTGTGGGACTGTGAAGAGCTTGGCCCCCACATCACCTCATAAAAACTGAAAGAACAGTTCAGTGGCCACCAAGATTCAACCCGGTTAACAGTTTACCAGGATTGCTTTCCCTCTCTTAAATACTTGAGCCTGCACTTCCTAAGATGACATTCTTATGCACAACCACCACACCATTATCACAAGTAAGAAACAACAAGTTGATAACATTATCTACTATTTAGTACACATCCAGATGTCCCTAATTCTCAAAACAAGTCTGATACATCAGCTTTCTAAAAGTGATCCAATCAAGATTCATACATTGCATTTGTTATGTTTACCTCTTTTAATATAGGACAGTCCCCTACCTTTTCTGTTTTCATGGTATTAACTTTTTAAAGTTTCCCAATTCATCTGCCCCTTTTTGTCCTTTAGCTCTCAGATTTCTGGTCAGCTGGAAGGAAGGTTTAGAGACTTAATTTGATGGTGAGAATTTTTCATAGGTTACATGAGGCTTTTCATACTGTTTTCCCTCAGGGAGAATATGAAATATTGAATACATAATATTAGTCATCCCAGTATTAATGCTCACTAGGATAAGGAGGACTCCTCCTGATTTCTTCACTATAAAGAATTATGAAAATGTTTGCATTTGTGGGTAGTGACTAGCATGTCAGGTGGAGACTGGAAGTCTCTGGAAGAAAAAGTCATCACTCCCTGCAAGGAGAATGGAGGTTATATAAGAATGATGTGCAGACAAGAAAAATGTCACTCCCGTGAGAGGTCACTCATGGTGAAGCGTCTCCAAAGGTTGATGGATGGGCCAATATGGCCAGCTATGAGTATGAAAACCAGTTTGTTAGGGTGTCTTTGAGTCATTCAACTATACAAGTCCTTGTTAACAGGCACAAGGGACAGATCAGTGATTAAGACAGACAAGGGCAATCTTAAGATTCATATTCTTAGAGGGAGATAAGCAAGATCATTTCTTGGGATCTTAAATGCTGGGAAGATAATAAGAGGATGTGATGAAGAGCAACTCTACAAACAGAGCATTTCTGGAGGACCATTGGCATTGTTAAGGAAGAAATTACTAATAACCTGTCCCTTCTCCATTGAGTAGCTGTGAGCTTTCAGTACAAGGTATTGTGAACATCAGTTGTGAGTCTTTGAAGACAAATTCATTCAGCTACATAGATAGAGTAATAATCATCGGGATTATTCTGGCACTTACTACTTCGGATCACCTAGCAGCAGTTGTGTCAGAACGTCTGGTAAATTGAGTTAAATGCTACCTTTATTCAAAGACTGGTAAAGCTCTACTCTGTGGAGTTTGGTCTGCTTTAGAGTTCCTGTGGATAATTCTGCCAGAAGTAACCATGCTTTCTACAAGGAATTGTGATGTGTGTTTTAAGCTTTGTTGAAATCTAGGAATAATGTCCTGGTATACTTGGTGTAAACTCCCAGATCCATTCTAATAACAGATATAAATCAAGAATAAGTAACACTATGTGTGTCCTGCCTGAAATCTCTGCCTGTGGTCAACTGGTCTTGGACATATGAGTATCTGTGAGGGTGAGTTTATAAGCTGGTTAAGTTCTGCTGGAACAAGAGTTCTAGCTGGTTGTTTCCATTTAACAATGACTGTCTCGTCTTCTACAAGAGAGCTCTCAAAGGGCATCATCTATCCACGCACAAGTGTAATGTTTTAAACAAGTAACCTGTATCTCGAATTTTCAAAAAAAATGACAATTTTAGGTAAATCAGTCCAAGTCAATGATTATGCTGTAGGCGTTTTATTTGCATGGACGAATTAGTTTGTACTCTTGCCACTGCTGATTTATCTGCATTTCATCAGAGAGCATTGTAAGAGTCCAAAAGAGAAGCCACAAGACAGAAGCGAGGGGGCCAGTGCTGTGGCATAGTGGGCTAAGCCTCCGCCTGCAGTGCGGCATCCCATATGAGCTCTGGCTCTAGTCCCAGCTGCTTCTCTTCTGATCCACCTCTCTGCTTTGGCCTGGGAAAGCAGTGGAGGTTAGCCCAAGTGCTTGGGTCCCTGCAACTGTGTGGGAGACCCAGAAGTTCCTGGCTCCTGACTCCTGGCTTCTGGCTCCAGATCAGTTCAGCTCTAGCCATGGCGGCCATTTAGGGAGTGAATCAACGGATGGAAGACCTTTCCATCTGTCTTTCTCTCTATATATAACTCTACCTCTCAAATAAATAAATAAAATCTTAAAAATAATGAGGCTCAAAAGTTGTGTAGCTTTTTTTATGTTTGTTTTGCCATATTCTATTGTTCAAAAGCAGGTATAAGACTGTTAAGGATTCAAGGGGTGGGGATTATACAAGGGCATGAGCACCAGGAGGTGAGACTGGGGGCTGCTGAGAGTATCTGGAAAGGAGCTACCACACAGCTCCAGGCCAAGTGCAAGCTCAGATGTGTGTTATTGTACTGGTCCTTTGCTGAAAATCAAGTGTGTCTGAATGATGTATTTCAGGGGTGGGAAACATCTAGCCTACCACTTAAGGTCCATGACATCATTTTGTCGGCCCTGCCAATGCAAGTGCAGGTGGGACTTGAAATTCAACAGATCCATAGCAGGCTAATTTTTAAGTTGGTAACTTCATATGGCCAACAAATGATGTTGTAAGTCTCTGGATAGCCCTTGGCAGATAAAAGTTTCTCCACCCCGATGTATTTAATCACTAGCTAAGCCAAGCCGTGACTGCCATCCCCGCCTGTGAGCCAGGCATTTTCACCAAGACTGTTATATGACCCACTATTTCTTTTTGTTGACAAATCCCTGGCACATCTGTTTCTTCCTTATCAAAGCCTTTTTGCTGCAGATGGGAAAAAATAGGAGAATAAAATATAACAAGTTCATAGAAAATTTGTGTTGTCTTTTCAATCCTCATAGCATTTAAAACTCATGTGGTTAAGATGCTGCTTCTGACACTTGCACCCCATATTGGAGTGTGTGGGTTCAAGTTCTGGCTCCACTGTCAATTCCAGCTTTCTGCTAATGCACATCCTGGGAGGCAGAAGCAATGGACTGAGAAACTGGGCCTCTTCTACCTATGTGAGAGACTGGATTGATTTCCTGGCTCCTGGCTTTGCCTTGGCCCAGCCCCTGTTGTTGCAGGCATTTGGGGAGTAAACCAGTGTCGCTCCCCCTCTTCATGGAGGAACGACACAGGACCCTGCGTTGTTCTTTCGTCTGCTCGGCCCTCCCCAGGTTTGCTGTTGGTTCTTCCCGGGTTGGCTGCCGTCCCTCCACCTCCGTGGAGGGGCAGGCCCCCCTGCCACTTTCCCCACTTCCGCAGGGGCTGCTCAGATGTTCCTCAGGTGTTCCCTTTAGATGTTCCTGGTGCATATTGTCTCTCTCCTCCTTTATAGTCCTCTTCCACCAATCCCAACTCTGCTACCCACACGCCGAGTACGCTGCTCTCCTCCAATCAGGAGCAGGTCCTGCTGTTTATTGGTTGAACTGGAGGCAGCTGTGTAGAAGCTGTTTCCTCCTCTCCCAGCGCCATATTGTGGGAGAGCAGATGCATAGAATAAGTCTTAATTCCAGTAACTTAGTCCAGTCCGAGTTGCTCCCCACAAACCAGTAGATGGATGATCCTCTATGTCTCTGTCTCCTTGCCTTTCAAACAAATAAAATTGATTAACAATTTTAATTATATACCAATTAGGTACTTAATTTAAAAAGAGGTATTCTAAAAAAAAGAGGTGTTCTTATGTTTAAAAAAACAAAATCATTTGAGGTAACTTGAAGGTTATCTGAAAATCATAGAGGTGAATAAAAGATCAAAACTGGTATGTGATAAAACCAAGCTTAGACAGTAACAGCTAAGTCCAAGACTTAGTTGGCACTGTATAAATATTCATATCTAAATCATGGTCATGATTCTGTTGCTGGCTCCTGCTCTGGCAGTTTGCTGCACTCTTTGCAGAGAGTAAAATGATTTGCCTTGCTGAAAAACTTTATCACAGCCATGCTTCACCTCACCTGGACTGACAGCTCTCCTCTCTAAGTGAAGGAGGCCCATTAATAATAAAACTAGGCAGCTTCCAGTGCAAATAAATTAATATACTAAAAGAGATAGCCTCTTGTAGTTGGAGTGATGCTTAGGACATTAATATTATAGTGTACAAATTACATTTTTTTTTAAATTTTAGAAAAGTTATTTTCTGTTACCTATTTTTAAAATGTACCAGAGGTCTCTTGAATAACCAGCAGGTGTATGTGCTCATAGCTGCCACAACCTCCCAGAATGCAAAATAGTCATGGTCAGCAGATGGGGGTGGGGGTGAAGGTGGGGGTAAAAAATTCTGCTGAAGGAAATAAGTGAAATAAAAGGCTCAACGTCTTTAAGAGATTATTTCCTTTGAGGCAGCCTTTTTTTATTTTGTGTAGCATTTATCAGGTTGTGATTCAGTTATCTCTTGCTGTAGGGCAAACCATCCCAAAATTCAGTTGCTGGAAAAATATCAGTTTCACATTTCTCACAATCCTGAGGGCTGACTGGGTGCTTCTCCAGTGTTCTTTGGGCTCATTCACAAGATTACATCAGCTGTAGCAAAGGTCAGCAAAATTTCTGTAAAGGACCTGATAGTATTTTAGGCTTTGCCTCTATTGCATATTCTTTTTTGTTATATCTCTTTTTTTGATTTTTTAAAGATTTATCTTTATTTGAAATTCAGAGTTTTTTAAATTTTTTATTATAAACACTTATTTAGTAAATATAATTTTCCAAAGTACAGTTTATGTATTACAATGGCTTTCCCCCCCATAACTTCCCTCCCACCCACACTCCTCCAATCTCCTGCTCCCTCTCCCATTCCATTCACATCAAGATTCATTTTCAATTCTCTTTATATACAGAAGATTAATTTAGTATATATTAAGTGAAGATTTCATCACTTTGCACCACACAGAACATAAAGTGTAAAATACTGTTTGAGTA